CTACACGCAAAACATGCCAGACATGGCCTCCACAGTTTATGTCAGGCATCTTTCAGGACGGCACTGATCTCACAGAACTTAACGTGCCAGGAAGGCCACATTCCGGAGGGGTCACTGCGGCCTGTCCCTCAGTTCTAAGAAGGACTTCGTTAGCTTACCAGCTGACGACTGGGAGTATATGTGGCTGGGTGCATGAAGCTGGAAAATCGAGTAAGAAAAAGAAGCAGAGAGGCGGAAATGCCCAGACATAATCTGCAATTTTTGAGAACAAGGGATTCTACGAAACCCGGTTTTGGCTTATCAACGTCTGCCAGCCATCATTACACAACCACCGGTTTACAGGAAGTTGGGTTTGAACCCACCTTGTTTGGTCATTGAACCTTGTTAAATCCGATGCCCTACCTCAAACCCATTGTGTCTTTGGTTGTGATTGGGATTGTGACTGTTGTAGAAGAATATTCACCAATCGGGCTACGGGACACTGTTGGTGGACTGTCGAACAGCGGCAGGTAGTATAGCCACTGAGAAGAAGAAGACTCGATCGCTAGAACAATACGTTTATTCGTCTGACGTTTCGACATCCGTCGCGGATTCATCATTAGAGACACGAGTGAGAAACAGTAGCAGAAACGGGTAACGTATGCACAGAAGTTTGCAGTATTGCTTCCTGGGACACGCATGTTCGCTTGTATTGGCAGCATAGCCACTGGTCATCTGTGCTCCACGGGTGAGGCTTATGTCCGCCTGGCGTAGCCCTCCTAATAAAGCCTCGGTGCCTTTAAGTTTCACAATAATTTTGCTTTTGAACTAAAGGTTAATCATGCAAAAAAATCCAATGTGTTTACGTTATCGGAAGTGCAACGTTGACAAGCAAATTATTAGCATTCTTGCCGACGACGATTAACTCGTGGTCACTTAGTACGCGTCATTAAACTTCTGCAACGTTTCCGGTCTGACGGTTAACTTTAATTCTGCTAACCACTGAATGGCGCCGGAAGTGGTTTAAACGGTGTAAAGCATGCTAGGGCAAAAGGTGCTAGGATTTAAATGATATTTTCCTTATTTTGTCTAGGTAGCGACCGATGTGCACCCGCTTCAGAAAGTACAATCTGGATAAGAGAAATGTTTGGATAATTATAATTCTTCTCTTAAGCTTAACCCAACAACGTTAATGTTATCACGGATATGACGACACAAATCGCCTGTCCGTGTCTGACCAAGTACCGAAGCCAAGTACTGAAGCATTATGAGGGAATGTTCGGTACATTCAATCCTCAAGGAATATGCTGTTTCGAAAGATTTCATGAGACTGACACATTAGTAACTAATAGTATCGAATCTAGAGTGGACATTTTTCTAATAAACACCCACTTGCTTTATCTTGAAAAACTGCGCAACTAGTGTAGAAGTGCAACTGTGTCCTAGTCCATATGCGACTGTCTGCGTGGGCTCTTAAGTGAGTTCTAGGGCAAAACCGGAGCGTAAATTGTTCCGCAGATAGATTGGCGATGCCCACATATTCGTCATCTTCCCGATCTCAAACGACAAGGAAACGAGCCCATGATGCAATGGCAGAGTGGTAAACTCAATGACTAAAGGTCCCGGCTTCTAAGCTGGAGTGATCCACACCTGGGATCCGGTATAATTGGCTGATGACGACTAATAAGCTAGAAGTGAGCATTCCGCTCTCTTTCTCTCTCTGATTTGTCGGATCGATTGCATCCTATCATACTAGTCCCGTAGCCGATCTGTGAGTGCTCATAAACACCAATGGGATCACCGATATCGAAACTACTCGCCGAACTAGAATTAGGATGACTATAAAAAGGCCTCAGGTCAAAAACGTGACTCTACTATGTAGCCTATACCTTCTTTGTCACAGAAACCGTGCAGTTGAACGGCCGCACCAGAGTCCTGCTAGTGTTTTCTCCGCCATACATCGGCACGTCAGTGTGCAAAGACTAAGTGATGGCAACTTCGCAACTAACGTCCATGGAAGAGACTCCAGTGCCGAAATCATCCTCAACTATGCAAGCAACTAGATAGCCACCAACAGGAGAAGCTGCGTCGAAAGTCTTTTCCACCGCACCTTCCGGTACGGCAGGAGCCAATACCTACTTAAAAGAGAACTTACGGACCCTTATCAATAATTCCGATCTAACGAATATCCGTTTGGTTTAGTAGAACACTGGCTGTGACCTCAGAGGCAACAACATGGTCACAGTTCTAATGTAGAAGTAGTACCCTAGAAATTCGATTCCTACGTGCAAGGCACTTTAGAAGCCATCTTTCGACAGTTGAACCGTCTTGGCATCCTCATTGTCCACAAGCCGGCATCTTCTCTACGCCTTTTAATTGGCGATATTATTTCGCAGGAAATACAAAGTTTGATTTGAAGAGCTTATGAAAGGCTTCCACAGGGACATCTGTAGGACAGGCTCGCAGGAACTCCGCAGTTTAGGTCTTCGCTAAGTCTATAGGACTAGCAGTGAACTTAGAAATCATGAAAAACGTCACCTCAGTTCATCCTTTACACATTTTCAGCCATTTATTTTGTCTCGGAACTGTGTAAACTTTGGAGATTTTTGTAAGTGGCAAGAGCTTCTACAATAGAAACTTCGAAATTTTGTAGTTTCGTGCACCGATTGGGAGGACGATCAGTGACGGCGTTTTATCCATCTTGTGGGCTTCGGAATTACCGGCAAAACAATGGAAAACGGAATGGACATTTCTGGCTCATCAGCCAATTAAATGATGTTCTAACCCGCGACTTTTTTGATCTGAAGTCTAACGCTCTAACCCCTGAGCCAAGGGGTCGTTGTCTTGCTGGTTTCTATCGGAAGGCATTGACACTCTTTGATTCAAGTTCACCGATTACTTACGAAACTCACTTGTACCGCTCTGCACCCCGCCAGTCGCCACAAAGCGGCCAGTAGTCTAGGCAGATAGCATTACCAGCAAAGACAAAGGAGACTGAAATGGTCATTTCTGGCCGACTATTCGTCACCCGTCTTCCGCTAGTTCTGACTAGCCACATCTTTGAATGAACTGAGCTTCTTTTCTGCGTTATTACACGTACATATATCACTGTCCCGCAGTTTGTTGATTCCAACTCGCTTGCATTAGCTTTTCCGTCATAAGAGGGATTTCTAGCGCCTCCGAGCTAGAGAGAGGGAAACTGATTACATTCAAAGCAGCAAATTATATATATTTTATGTAAGTACTGTCTGTGCAAAATTAGGGAGTTGGAATTCGTTTCATTAGGCATTTTCCGCTTCAACCGCATTGCGTGCAGATCTGTGTCCATGAACAGTGACCCGGTAATAAACGCCTCCTTCGAAAAAATGCTCGGTACAGTTTTGCCGTAATGCGCATTTAATTCACTGGGCTTTGCATCGTCTGGATGCTGCCTCCGTATAAGAGTTATCGCATCAGAAAGTCCACGTACTCCTCCTGTTTCCAAAAGTTTGACAAAAATGGGTATTTTAAATTATACCGCCGACCGAAGTCAGCCGGACTGTTTATGCAACCTCTCTTCGCTTCCATTGCGTGATTGGGCCTTAGCTTGTCACGTTAAAAATCGCCCTCGTTAATTTGAATGTTGTGTGTACTATCATCTCCTGAGGCCTTTTTTATTTATATGACCCCACAGACCGTGGATCAGCTGTCTA